TTTTTTTTTTTTAAAAAAACCATATTATAGCAATGTGTCAGAAAATCTGTGCAGAAGCACAGAATGGGGGCGGGATGTAAAGAAGAAACATTCTTTGTGTCTGTCTGAGTCCTTGGAAGTCACTGTCCTTGTAACTATTGATGCACAGCTGTGATGGTGGTGCTGCTGACTTGAAAAGGCAGTTCCACTCATCATTAGACGAAACCAGAGGGGAAATGAACCCCATGGCCAGTAGGAGATGCTGTAGTTCAAAGCTGTGACACCATGACAGAGCCAAGGGCCTGGTACAGAGCATGTGAACACATTTTGCTCTGAAAATGAATTTGCCATTTAAACCCCCCTTCCCAGTAGCCACCCACATCTCTATCTGTGCAAGGCAAGACCAAAATAGCTAAAATGGGCACTGCAGTGGCTGAAAGCCATTATCCTGATCTGCTGCTAAGAGAGCACGTGAACATCCACATCGAGACATGTGCAGGAATGAGAATAGCATTTGTCTTCCTTGCCCTCCAAAAACAAACCTACAGAAGGACAGGAGTAAAGGGTGCTCCAGCTCGGAGGAGGTGGGGAAGAAGATCACACACAAAATTAAGGGGAGTTGGATGATGTGCAAATGTATCAGAACAGGGTACCCGTGACCACTCAGTGAGTCCATGTTGCATGCCGGACAGCGCTGGAAGTTCTCGGTGGTGGGAAAGGAGGAGATCAGTGGCATGTTTGCAGTGGCACAATAGTGTACACAGATTGGTGGGAAATGCACTTATACTCCAGTAGGTGAATTAGGGTCTAGAAATCCAACAATCAGATGCTGTTAATATGATAGTCTTAAAAAAGTCTTTGCTTTGTGGAGCGCTGAAATAGCTACGTCAAAGTGTAGAGGTGATGTATGGTTTTAAATAGAATGTATATGTATACTTTTACCTAGTATATCAGCGGTAGGTCATTTTGCTGGGTCAGGGCACACTGGATTTTGAGAGCATGTGGTAGATGTCGCATAAGATGGCTACCATGTTCATAAAATGTGCACTGTGTTGGGCATGGCCAGTCATGAAGCACCCCTTTACCAGAAGATGAGCTGGCCCTCTGGATGGGCTCTACCCTCCCAGTATGGCCTTTGTAAGATCTATATGAGGCATATACACCTGGACTACAAAAATCCAGCCACTCACTAGATGGCAGTGGGGGTAGACTGCCATCTACTGACTGTCCAGATTTTTGCAGCAGCTACAGTATGCCTAATGTGGACCTCAGAAAGGTTTTAGTCTAGGATGATAAAGGTCGATGCCTTGCTTTGCAGCAAGCTGGCTTTACTTTTAATTTCTATTTTTAAAAATGTCTCTGTGATATGTTGACAGAGCAGAAAATCTTTTAACACTTCGAGCCTTCAATTTTCATATAACAAGAATGTGACAGAAAAAAAGCAGAATAATTTAGTTGATTTTAGACATTGGTTTTGCACAGTATGTGAAGAATAGGATATATGTATAGGATTGCACTGTTAAACGGAATGTTTTAGATTTATGGCAGCATTTTCTGAAACCTTCAGTTGTTGAAATAAGGAAAAGCATTTTGAGGGTGTGCTTCAATACACATAGAAATGAAAAACAGTTTTGAAGGGCATTATTCTAAAATCATTTTTTTTCCCCAAGTGTTTTTCTCACAGGTACAGGGTCTTTTTTTGGATCAACTGAATGTTGATCCGTTGGTTGCAACAGGAATTGACTGGCTGGCTTGTCGCCTGAGCCTGACGTCGTTGTGGGCTGAGAGAGGGACTGGCCCAAAGTCAGTCAGCCAGCCAGCTTTCATGCCCAAGGCAGGACTAGAACTCACCGTCTCCTGCTTTCTAGCCTGGAGCCTTCACCAGGACACCAAACTGGCTCTCTAAATTCTAAAATCATTAAGGCTAACAATTAAACAGTCTCTTCAGGTGTAGGGAAGCAGCTAGGGAGACAAGTGGACTATGGGATAACAAGGGAACTGAGAATACGCTATTTCAGGATAAGGATGTTACAGAGATAATGAATTAATCTTTGTCTGTGTCTTTGTGGTAACAAAAGTTTAAATTCTAGGCTCTAAAGTGGAAAATTAACAAATCGTCACACCTAGATAATGGCTACCCCCTTGCTTTTCACTCAGATGTGAAATTGTTGATCTTCTCACCAATATGTAATATACCCCAAAGCTCCGATTCTGAACCACAGGCGTGGGAAACAATCAAAGCATACTCATTTTTTAAAAAAGAGCCACAAAATTACAAGCCAGTTAGCCCACTGTTTGTTCCAAAATGAAAGTGAGTGTTATTAAAGATAAAATTTTCCAGCATGTAGAATAATAGGTTTTCCTAAAGAGAAATTAACATGGGATTTGCAAAACTATAATTTACTCATCCTTTAAAAAACCTGGAAGACTCAAAAGTTGTGGCTCGGTATAAAGGCTCCTGAGGAAAGGCTGTCTTGAGTAAAGAGAAAGATCTCTCAAGACATGTGAGTGTTGGAAGGACAGAAGAAACCCCAGGTTCTTATTTAAAGGACACACGAGGTGAATTGTAGAATCTGCAGGCACCAAGTTGAAGGCTGCCGATGTAGATGGCTTCAGAAGGCACTGGACAAATTAAGGTTAGGTTGCATTATCCATGGCAACTAGTAAATATAGTTCTAAATTAACTTCAGGATGTGGGTCTGATCCAATAACGTTCTAACAGCACTCAGTACCCCTAAGGACTTGAGAACAGTTCATGCATAGTACATGCAGCCAATTGCTTTTAGGGTTGTTACTTGTCATTCATAAACAGTCATTGCGAAGGATTAATATTATGTGTTTTGTAAGGGCATCAATTTTATCTTTCTGGAATGAGACTTCAAAAAACCTCCATCTTGGTATCTCCTGTTCATGACAGCAGACGATGTGGGAAAGAGGTATTTCTCATGCGAATGCACTTATATTGCTAGCTGTAGGTCAAGGTAGAACAGGAAAAATAGCTCAGTGCGTTTCTTCACATGTGCTTGTGCTAGAGTGAAGTTGCACTGAGCGGGAGAGGGCAACGTGATTTTCTTTGATGGATTATCTTAGGATAACCTCTCCTGAACTCTCTTCAGCTTCTAATTGCCTTTATCTTTGGTAAGGGATCTTTCTGGTCAGGAAAGTTAAGTAAATAAATAATATACTTATCTTTAGCAATATTGTGTATTTCAGTGGAGTTCTCAGGAGGAAGAATTGATTCCATATACAGTGGGGCAAAAAAGTATTTAGTCAGCCACCAGTTGTGCAAGTTCTCCCACTTTATACAGTGGGGCAAAAAAGTATTTAGTCAGCCACCAGTTGTGCAAGTTCTCCCACTTTATACAGTGGGGCAAAAAAGTATTTAGTCAGCCACCAGTTGTGCAAGTTCTCCCACTTAAAAAGACGAGAGACGCCTGTAATTTTCA